CCCACATCAGAATAAAAATATTACTTAAACTGAAAGTGTTGAGAACTGTAACAATTTACCCCCATTTGTGTTGATAATGATATTATTCTCTCATATCCCACTTGATATATTCTCGTACACAAGAGTTATCAATTTATTGTTGGTCATAGTTGAGTAACCAATAAGTACACAAAGTAGACACATAGGTTGTACCAAAAACTCAAGTCTGTTTGAGAGCTCAAATAGTTTTGACGACGTCGTGCATATTCTGACGTGCTGGTCGCTACCTTTGAGACACTACAGTAAGACCACATTTCAAAGGACTCTGGTTTTCTCATAAAAAAAAAGAAAGCACAGCATTTGGGCATCTATTGATCAAATAAACAAAGACGTCAGCAGTAAAGCATGGGAACAAGCTCGGTATTTGCTCTGTCACTGAAGATCCCGAGCAAGCTCAAACTTCATAATTTACTTGGATAGAAAAGGCGAGCTAAGCGTGCTATACCAACAAGAACCTCTGACATTGACAAATTCGTTTTCGATGTATTGAACCGAACAGAGCTGTAGGTAGTACCTTATACCTACAGAGGAAGAGAGTCAATTATCGGTAATAACTCTTATTAATGGAAGTACCTACCAGTGGTACCAACCAACGTTATGAATCGAGTATAAAATTCTCACGTGCCTAGATGATATAAATCAGGCAATTTTTGTATCATCTATGAAATCTAGTACTTAATTTATTGAAACGTATTTCAACATTCCAGCTCGCGTCTGTTTTATTTTAAATTGTTTTCTCACTGTGCTCAGCTTGCTTCCATCAGTGACGTACCAGTACGGCATCGGGATTTCTCGCCCCTGTATTCATCGGTATGTAATTTTCACCCAACGTGACCATTTATTTTTTTGCCAAAACGGGACCAATTCATAAGTATTAGTTTAAAAAAAAACTAAAAAACGCGCTTTTATAGCTAACCGAACTGAAAAGTAGAAAATAATTATAATTTACAAAGAGTTTATATTACAGTAGATGGTAAAATCAATCATAATTAATGACCTCAAAATAAAATTAGAATTAAATTTAAGTTATTAACAGAATAATTCAATTAAGAGTAAAAAGCGTGGGGTGCTTGATATATTAAATGTTACAATTATTCTATTGGCAACTATCTATGAGAACAGAGTTATGAAAATACATATAGTAAAATGCACCACATGTTTTTTACTATGAATTGAATTATTTTTGTTAATAAATTAAATTTTATTTTAAGGTCATTAATTATGATTGATTGTTCGACCATCTATTACTGTAATATAAATTCTTTGTAAATAAAAATATTTTCTACTTTTTAGTTCGATTAGCTATAAAAGCGTGGTTTTTTAGTTTTTTTTTGAACTATTACTTATTTTTCATTTATTAGTTCGATTTATCAATTAGTTTTTTGTGGATATGTGGTATTGAAATGTCTTACGAATCATTTCGTAATCTAATCATTTCATTTAAAGCTTCACTATTGCATTAGGTTTTGCTGTTAACTTAGAGCAGTCCAGTTCTTCAATCCGAATACCGTCTAAAGATCTTACACGACTAAGTGCTACATAAGCTTGTCCAGAAGTATATTCGCAATGAACAAGGTGAAAAAGTATCTGCCTCCTTTGTACTGTGCCGAGAGCCCGAACCAACAAAGAGTAAGTCCGAAACTGCACGCATGCGCAGATCACGCGCTAGCTCTATCTCTCTTACTCCCCAACAGAGGATCTATAAAAGAATTTATCAATCTTGGCGGTCTTAATAAGAATAATGGCAAACTGTTATCAAATGTGTGCGAAGTTTTACATTAACCAAACTTCTGGAAATTGGTGAAAATTCTGCTAAATAAAGAGAACTGGATTTTGATCTCGCAGCATAAGCGGACCAATTCCATACAGTTTGTAGAGTTTTAGAAGTGTAACACTAGTGCTGCCATCACCTAAATTTTCAACGCCGGACAAAAGCTTCAAAAGCCCACGAGACATTTGGATGGAATTGAGATTTTTTCCCCAGATATCTATTATAATAAAAACATGTTAGTCTAATCATATTAGCAAATTTCCTCGAAATAATTGTAAAGTCTGGTTTTATTGCTGCGAGTTGTTTAAGGGGATATTTAAAACATGGACGCATAAAATAGGTACATCAATTTTTGTTGGAGAACTTTTTATTCGACAACAAAGAATAACAAAACGTGTTTCTTGCAATTCGATCGGAAGTGTTGGCAGAAACGGAAAAACTCCGCGAAGAAGATTTTTAGGTATTTATGAGACCACACGTAAAAATATGAAACTATCGTCGCATAACCAACAAGTGCCAAAACCTACATTTTGCCTCGGTTTTTGGCCATAACTTTGTTGCCATTAATCATTGTCATTGTCATCTTTTTACGCGTGGTCTCATTTTTTAGGTCTCACAAATACCTAAAAATCTTATTTTGAGAGTTTTCTCGTTCCTGACAACACTTTGTATCGAATAAAAAAAAAAACGTTTTCTCATTCTTTGTTGTCGAATAAAAATTTTTCTCACAAAAACTGATGTAGCCATTTTATGCGTCCATGTTTTAAATACTCCCTGGAACAACTAACTGGTGATTTTTTAAGAGGTATAGGATTTTATTTTCAAAAAAAAAACACAAAAAATTTGAAAAAACGATTAAATCTTTATTTGAGTCGATAGAACGGTCGATATAATTTAATGTTTAAAGATTATTTCATGTAAATGTTGGCCGCGGCTCCGCTTTAGATGGCCCATGCGCAAGGTCCAATTTTGGCACACTCTCTCCAACATATCGCCCGGTATCTCACGAATAAATGCTTCAATATTGGCTTCCAGTGCGTTAATCGTTGCTGGTTTATCCCTGTAGACATTAGCCTTAACATGGCCCCACAAGAAATAGTCCAACGGCGTTAAATCACACGATCTAGGCGGCCAATTGACGGGCCCCAAACGTGAGATAAACTGTTCACCGAACTCGCCTCTTAATAGGGCCATTGTTTCGTGTTCGGTGTGGCATGTGGCACCGTCTTGTTGAAACCACATGTCAGCCAAGTCGAGCTCTTCCATTTTGGGCAAAAAAAAGTTTCTTATCATCGCACGGCAGCGCTCGCCATTCACAGTTATGTTCCGGCCATTGTTGTCTTTGAAGAAGTACGGCCCGATGATGCCACCGGCCCATAATCCACACCAAACAGTGATTTTTTCGGGATGCATTGGTAGCTCTTGCAATGCTTCTGGCTGGTCTTCACTCCAGATGCGGCAATTTTGCTTGTTAACCTACCCATTCAACCAGAAATGATCTTCGTCGCTGAACACAATTTTTCGATAAAAATGTGGATCTTCCTCCAACTTTGTCAGCGCCCATTCACCAACTGGGAAACGTTGTGGGAGGTCTTGTGGCTTCAATTCTTGCACCAGCTGTATCTTATAAGGTTTTACACCCAAATCCTGTCGCAAAATATTCCACGTAGTGGAGTAACAGAGGCCCCATCACTAACACTGGCGGATACAGCCGCAATATTTTCTTCAGTCCTCACTCTACGTCTGCGTGTTGGTGGTTTAATGTCCAATAATGTAAACTGGGTTCGAAATTTAGTCACAAGCTTCCGTGTAGCTCCCTCAGTAGGCCGACCAAATTTTCCATAAATTGCAAGCGTTGTTCGTTCGTAAGTCGATTCATGGTTAAATTATAGACCAAACTGAACAAGTCTGACAATGACACAAGACACGATTCACGCGTCATCTGTCAAAAACAGTGTTGCTAAAAAGATACTAGCAAAAAAAATCACCCATTATTTTCGTCTGATATGATTAGACAATGTCATATTAAACTTTTTCATTGATTTAATCACCTTGATAGCGCGATTTATTTAACAATGTTTGACAAATTGAAGAAATCGGCTTAATATTACAGCATAACAAATGAAAAGTTCAAATCATTACTAATAAAATTATGCTCTTCTCTTTCTGAGTTGAGGTGATCTGACAATAAAAATACATATTTAGAAACCCCTATTTTTTGGCCTAAAATCAAAAACGTATCATAAAAATAATTTTTGCTTCCGAACATCATGAAATAAAATGCATACTAACATATAACATAGCATGCAACAAATTACGGCAACTAGATAAGTAGGTTTTGTACCCAAAATCCTAAGAATTTAATAATTATAAATCAAAAGTTTCAAATTTAACATTCTCTTGAACATTTCACAATATTCCCCTGACACAAACAGTATCGGGGAAACACATCTATTGTTTGGCGATGAACTCCTCGATGGCTCGCCGAGGATCCGAGTGTTTCACTCTGCATTTACCGGTATTGCCAAGCTGACATACAGTGTTTATAAAATGCTAAAATTATCCTGAGATGAACGGAGTTCAGTTCTTTTTGGTTTTTCCCCCAAAAAACACATATAAATATGTAAAGTCATCATCTTAAGGCCATACTGTTTAGATAACATAGTTATCAAATGAGGACCTTGTCAAGCATTGTACCGACTTAGGCAGAATATGTTGAAAAGGTAAAAACAGCATTTCGAACTACGTGAAGTCCAGCTTTGCAAATCCAGTTCACCAGAGTCTGCCAATGACGCAAGACAACTTACCCAGTACATTTTAGAAAATAATTTGGAAGGGGTTTATTCAAATGTTTACATAACAATCAAAATCGTGCTCACAGTTCCAGTCAGTACAGTTTCTATTGATAGAATCAGAAAAGAGAGACTATTTGCTCTATCAATTCTATCATTTGAAGCGAAAATAGCGGCTGGTGTTAGTTATGAAACACACCGCCGAAACGTTCGTCTATTTTAATTTATGTTTTGTACATTAGTTATGTGTTAAGTTATAGATTAGCACTATGCTAAATTTTGTCCCTAATAAAGACGATTAATATCATTATTATTAATTGATTACGATGGATGTCTTTTAAGTTTTGCATATGGAAATAAAACAACACGGTAGGTAGCTTTAAATGACTTTATTGTTTTTAGAAGTATTCTCCACGAAGATTAATACACATCTGCATGCGCTCAAACCAATTTTCGAAGCACTTATTCCACTCGTTTGCTGGCAGATCCAAAACGGCATATTTCAATGCGTCAACTGCTTCTTCTGGTGACTGAAACCTTTGACCACGCAGTCTGATTTAGTTTTCGGGAAAGTAAAAAAAATCGTTAGGATTTAGATCGGGACTGTATGGAGGATGGTCCAATAATTCCACGTTTTCTTCCGTTAAATACTGCCTTGTTTTTTGGGCTGTGTGCGAGCTTCCATCGTCTTGGTGGAGGATGATTCTTCTTTCGGGGTTGATTTTTCGAAGCTCGGTGATGACTTTTGGCAAACAAATCGTGGTATACCAATCCGCAGTAACAATTCTTCCTAAGGGGAATTGTTGAAATATGACCCGATTTTGACACAAATGTCGCGACCATCTTTTTCGAAACACTTCGAGAACGGATGACTTTTGTTGGCTTTTCTTCACCTTGGAACACCCAAATAGCCGACTGTCGTTTATTCTCTGGTTCATAACAGGAAATCCACGATTCATCACCACTAACAATGCTGTACACATTTTTTGAGATTGCGGAATTGAAACGGTCAAGCGTTTTTTGACACCAATTAACCCTGGCTGCTTTCTGCTCTTCAGTCAACAGGTGGGGTATCCAACGAGAAACTAATTTTCTTACTCCTAATTCTTCATGTAATTTTGTTTGAATTGAGGTCTTTGAGTGCACCCACCCTGGGATCGTCGCTAAGACTCACCCGTCCACGTTTGAATTCTCTATACCAACGGGAAATTGTCGACTGATGTGGCGCTTCGTTGCCGTAGGCAGTAACTCAGCAAGGCATTCTTGTTGCGATAATTGTCTCTGAAAGTTGTAATAAACTATGGAGCGAAAATGTTCTCGGTTGTTAAAAATTCACTGTAGTGAGAAAACTGCACGTATTGTTGTGAAACTTTGAATTTAAGTTTACTAAAGAGTGAGGTTAAGATTCAGTACTGACGTTCGATCCGCGAGGCCTACTACCCAACTAACAATTATCACTCCTATTAGAGTTGCAAGAATGATTATACAGTATTCATTAAACAGCATTGTATACTGTAAGAACATTGGCAAAGCCCTCTTAGAACAGCTATACAAGCCGAATGGGCACACCTAATAGGACACTTCAGTAATTTAAGAGGTTGTATAAGGGCTGCAGGTGACGGTTATACAACAAAAGTGTAAGCCTCTTGCAGCCGCTATGGGACATTTGCGTCAGTGCAAGATTAAGTTTTTGTCAACTATACAACTATTCTGTTACGTGAGTCTACTTCATTGCAACCATACTATTTCTTATGTATTGTATAGACGAAGAAGAATATATAACTAACACATTACAGTCATCTTGTTTACTTACATAACGGACATTGTGAATTTCATACACAGGTATAGTATATGATAAACTTCTACAATGTGATATAGGGCTATTGAATTACTTGCGCAGCAAATTTTATTGTGATTATCGTGCAAATTAGTTACGCAATTTCTACGGGCTTCGTATTTGAGTCATATTTTGATAATGATCAAAAGTATGTCTAGATTTTTAAGATGGAAAACTGAACTTATCTGCGTTAAATCTTCCACAAATCCTATATTTAGACACAATTACTCTAATGTTTATCACTTTATATCTGTAATTTCGAACTGAAACATAATTATTTAATATTAAATAGAGGAATAAATGTTTGCCCAATAAGGCGGGTGGTTGTGTATAATCATGGCATCGTCCATGTTGTCTTTAGGTTATTAGAATATTTTGGTGTTGCCTGCAGGTGTTATACAACAATTTGACAAATGTCTGAAATGAAATACCGATAGAGTCGAATGATTTACCCAGAATTTGTTTGTCTTAAAACATTGGTCATGGCATTTTAACAAAAATATGACAGCAGAAGGTTAGGTTATGGTGAAGTATTGTATACCAACATATTTAGCATATGTACAGCCTTTAACAGTTACTAAATAACAGTTGTAAGTGCTTCCGTTGGGAGCAATTTGTTGGCGAAAGTAGTAACAGCAAAACAACAAGGCTCGGGTTTGTTTTATAAACGTTACCATGGATGCCACAACACAACCATTTTGACTAACGTGCAAATATGCCGTATAAAATAGTTGTATAAACGTTTATGCAATAGTTAAAAATTTGCCCTATAAGGTGTCGTATAACTATGCTATAAGAATATCTTAAACACCTAACTTTAGAGCAAATATGTTGCAGAAAGCAAATTTGCATTCCACACAACATTAAGCCAGCATGTTGTTGTTCAGGCAACAACAATAGAGAGCTTTTATGGCTGAACGGTTCTTTTACCAAAAGCTTATACCACTACTTTGCTAGTTGGGTGTGTTTCTATATGCAAAACTTAAAAGACATCCCTCGTAGCAATAAAACGCATATACTAATATGTATTCAATTTTCATTCATTCAATTTATCGTTTTTTTACTCTGAAATGGAAAAGGCCTTGCAAAGCTGTAGCTAAAGTCGAAATATGGTCTAGTGCTTTCCATGAATACTAACAATTGGTTTCTGTGCTAACAAAATCTCGTATTATACAATGCGGGGATCGAACACCATACTTCATATTCCAGAAACTTCTTTGATTGATTGGTTCATCCAAATCAAAATAAAGAAGGTTTAAAGACGAGTTAAAATTACTCTGTAGAGCTTCAGTAATATTTTTAACTGATTTTAAGACCGTCGTTTACTGGACCATAATTCAACATCGCAGTTCTAGATTCAACGAAGCTCAAAGATAAGCTTTTCGCAGTATACCATAATTCTACCGGTTTTGTGGAGCGCGCTAATCTAAAGCTCTAGCCAAGTTCAATGTCAAAGAAATTTATCTGCGACTGTTACACTGTTAGTATTACGTAATCCTCAATTACGCTCATTTTCTACAAAGTACTCCATGTGAAATGTCCTCGTTACGGCTTCTTTACATTTTTTCTATAAATTCCTGCGAAACTGGCCACCCGGGGCAGAGCTACCGTTCAAAAAACTAAGACAGATCATCGGCCTTCCTAGTAAAAATACAAGAATGATACAGGATTATTAGAATTATCCGTTTGACATATTTTTTAAAATATACAGGGTGTAAACGTTATGGTAGTCATTATTGAAATGGGTAATAGGGTCAAAAAGTTCATATGACCCATGGTCCAAAAGTCAACAGATTTTTGTCTAAATGGCTTTATAGTTTACAACTTTAAGTGCTTTACATCGACCACAATCACCACAATCTTACAAATTTTTATAATCTAATCTAAAAATCTTTTAAATTGAGTAATTAACAAATAAATGGCATCAAGTTTTTCTAAGTTAAGCCAAAATTTGTAGTCAGTAAGTAAGTTTCATTAAATTAAATATTTATACACACATGACAACAGCGCGTCGGTCTTTCATCATTATCGAACCGGCAATCGATCGCAAACGGTAACAGTGGTTAGTTGAAGTTTTGCATAGATAAATTACTTTATCGTTTTTTCGAGCAGAGCACCGAGCGTGTTGTTTTGTTTTTGTTCGCGTACGTCGTCGTGTTTATTTACAATGTTCTCGAATCAAGAGTTCGCCGACATGTTGTTAGTTTACGGTGAAGGTCGTCAGAATTCAAATCTTGCAGCTCAAATTTATCGCGTCAGATTTCGCCAACGGGTACACCCAGACAGAAGGACATTTGTGCAAGTGTACCAAAAAATTCGAGATACAGGAAGTGGTCAGCACCAATAATATTCGCACTCGTGAAAAACAGGTTACTGTAGAGCAGGAGGAACAAATTTTAAATATCGTGGAAATCAATGCAAATATCAGCACTCGGGAATTAGGCCGCCGCGTAGGAACTATCGCATACCATAGTCCATAGAATCCTACGGGAAAATTTGCTTTATCCCTACCATGTACGAGTGCAGGATTTGTTACCAAAAGACTACCCTCGCAGATTAACATTCAGTCAGTGGTTTTTGCACAAAAACATTGAAAACCCGGATTTGTTTTAAAACATTCTAGCGACGGACGAATGTACTTTTACGCGAGAAGGGATATTAAATTTCCATAATACTCACTCGTGGGCACAAGAAAATCCTCATACCATTCGTGAAGGTAATTTCCAACAAGGTTTTAAAGTAAATATTTGGGCGGGTATTACCTTAGCTTTCTAGCCAATAACCTACCAGAACTTTTGGAACAGACCTTAGACAATATGCCATTACAACGGAGACAGAATTTGTGGTTTCTTCATGACGGGACACCACCACACATTTTTAGAGGCGTCATTCAGTATTTGAATGAACATTATCCAAATCGCTGGATCGGTCGAAATGCTCCTGATCCTCGAAAATGGCCAGCAAGATCTCCTTACCTCAATCTGATGGATTTCTGGTATTGGGGAGAACTTAAAGGGATGGTTTATGGGGCTGGTCCAATAACAACTGAAGCACAACTTCGCGAAAAATATTTTAATGCGGCTGAAATAATAAATGGACAACTTCGAGGACCTAGAGTAAGAAGAAACTGGGTTCGTCGTAATGAAGCTTGTGTGAAAAGTGGAGGACGACATTTTGAACACCTTCTTTAAATACGAAAAAGTGCAGTGTGGGTTTTAAAGAGAAAAACAATGTATGTATCAAAATTGTGTTCCCTATTCATAAGTGGATTTTTTTAATACGTTCAATAAACTTTCACACACCAGGTGAAGCGAGACATTTCGTGGTAAGTCCGTTTTTTTTAATTGTTTGCATTTTACGAGTACATTATCAAATAATGAAATACTACCTAAGAGCCAAAAATAACAAACTCCATCTTTACACTGCGTTCCGTCGTAATTTGCGTCTGACATTGCGGCGTTGTCAGATTTTATTTTACTTTAAAGTCTATTTTCTCTGAACAAAATGCCGTTTTGACCCCCATGTTATATGAAACTTTTTGTTTCTTGTAACCCCCTCTATCACCCATTTAAATAATGACTATCATACCGTTTACACCCTGTATAGCAAAAAATTGCGTTAAATAGGTTGACTCTGCACTTTCTGCTCAACACCGCCATCAATTCATAAAGGTTTTTTTTCAGCGCAATTTAAAAACTCTGAGAAGAATGTCAGAGATGAACATGTACAACAGAGAAATTAAATGTATCAAGTCAGTTAAACAGGCTCATACAATTAGTCCGCAGACATTCTTTCCCTGCTCTACCGGTAGTTCTGGCAACATTGTCCCTTTCCACATCTGCGCTCTAGCACCCAGTTTTTAAGGCAAGTGTACGGGGAAGTCTATTATGTGTGAAATATGGCTAATAGGTGCATTACCGGAGTTACGAGCGTATAAATATACCAAAATCAAGAAATTCTCATCCCCCACCCCCTACAACCCCCAACCTTCGAATTTAAGTCCCTACAAAAATTTTTAGTTTTCTCTCTGCCTCCACTGGACCGCTTTTTAAAAACTACAAAGCTTTTTCTTCCTTCCTATAATAGCAACCTTGTGTCGAAATTTCATCAAAATCCAAGCGGTACTTCTCCAGTTACAGATAGGCCAAGGATTAATGGAAAGACAAACCGACAGACATGCATACAGACAGACAGATACACTGGCGGGAAACATGGGAGAATCTAATAATTCCATACAGAATTTTTAAATCAGAAAGACTGCTTGGCTTGTACTATACAGGGTGGCGCATCGAAAGCGAAACAGATGCATTTACTGGCAGCTTAGTTTTTTTTTGGAAAAACGCTCAGACCCGTCGATTTTGCCCGTGCAGCCCCCTAAGCGGGGGTGACACCCCCCCCAAAATCTTAAATGGAAAGGGGGTCGAGTGATACCTTATTTTAATGGTCTTTCAATTCCCTTTATAATGATATAAAGTTAATGTACTTCAGTTCAGTAGTTTTGAAGATTTATTGATTTAAAGCTTAAATAAAATAAATACATCATCATTAGTGGAGATCAATACATTTGGCAGCAAAGTAATTTAAAAATGAAGAATGAACTGACCCGTTAGGCAAGTAAATGTTGAAAAAATGGCCACCATGACTCTCCATGCAATAATAAAGATTTTGCTTAAAACGTTGCCGCACATTTTGCAATATTTGAGGAGTAATTTGAGTAGCATAGGTTTTGCTTTTTAAATGACCTCACATAAAGAAATCCAAAGGTGATAAATCTGGCGATCTTGGGGGCCATTCAATGGCACCTCTTCTACCAATCCATCGATCTGGAAACGTCTGATCTAAATATTGTCGAACACGTAATACGTAAGGTGGTTAATGCAGGATCTATGGCGTCTTCCAGTAATTCTAAATACATTTCACCGGTAAAATTGCCAGGTAAGAAAACAGGACCAACTAAATGATCGCCAAAAATACCAGCTCAAACATTTAATTTTTGTGGCTGCTGTGTATTAATATCATGATAAATTCTGGGATTAGAATTGGACCAATATCGGCAGTTATGACGATTTACTACGCCATTTAAGAAAAAGGAATATTCGTCGGAAAAGCAAGTGTTGAATAGAAAATGTTCATCGTTTATAATTCGTTCACTCATATCTTCACAAAATTGTAATCGTCGATCAAAATCGTCTTCATTAAGTTCTTGTACCAGGTGAATTTTATACGCATGAAAACTATGGATCTTTAGAATCCGTTGGACAGTACGTCGACTTACACCACACACAGTCTCCAATTTGCGGGTACTTAACGTAGGATCTACATAAACTTGCCCTAAATCCCCCACTTCTATTGCTTCGTTCCTTATGGGATTTTCAATGTTGCGTTTTTTATTGGCGACTGACCCAGTTTCCCGAAATTTAACTACAAGTTCTAGAACATATTTTCGATGCACGTTACTGTTCTCATGTCGCTCATTAAATATTTCTGCTGTTCTATTAGCCCACTGATTATTTCCGAAAAATATTCCGATAATTTCAACTCTTTCTGCTGTGGAATACGATACCATGGTTAATTTATGTAATAAAGCGTTACAAGTTATTTTAGCAACAAAGTTTGGTCAAATCAATCGCAAACTATGTACTAAATTCCTATTTAAAATAAGTACGAGATATTTCCTTATCTTTCTTCAAGAAATAACTTTTTTGCCCCAAAAAAACGCTCCAATAGCTATTTTCAACAACAAAATGATAAACAAACCATGGGTGTAGTGAAGAAAAGCATTTAGTTATTAAGTAAATTCTTTTAGTCAAATTTCTTCTGAAAGTAGTACAAACTAATGTGATGTACCTATTAAAGTCTACTTTAAGCTTTAAATCAACAAATCTTCAAAACTACTGAACTGAAGCTCATGTATTTTACATCATTATAAAGGGAATTGAAAGACCTTTAAGATAAGGTATCACTCGACCCCCCTTTCCATTTAAGATTTTAGGGTTGGTGTCACCCCCGCCCAGGGGGCTGTACGTGTTAACGTGATTTTTTGCCAAACTTGTGTCCCCCTCGAAAACAAAATCGACGGGTCTGAGCGTTTTTCAAAAAAAAATGAGCAGCCAGTAAATGCGTCTGTTTCGTTTTCGATGCGACACCCTGTATGTAATTCATTGAGCTTCCTTAGAAAAATATGCCAATTTCTAGGCGTCCTCTTCCCTAGCAAAACAGCGCCCATTACATCACCGCTAACGACTGAGAATTCCTACCTGGCTGGCGATGTCCTTTATAACGCGTTTTCTCTAACGTCTTCCATCTCGACCGTCGGTGGAATGAGACAACTTCAATTAAGATTCTAATAACTAAGAACAATCTCTAATATAGCCGGTTTTTTGTTTTTTTCACGACTAGGCATACGCGGTGCACCTGCGACCAATTGATGTTTTTTTTTTTCAGCTAAGCGGCTCTCAGCACTTCTCTGATAGTTTTGTGATCCCGTGTTGATATCAGAAGGATCAATTACATTATCTTTTTGTTTTAGCACGCCATGGTTCAATCAGTTGTATTGGTATAATAATAATATTGTAAGACGTGAACTTTGGCACGTAGTGTATAAGTGCATAGCAAACCAGGAAATACTTAAATATGCAAGTATGGTATAAGAAGGAAAGAGATTGTATTTCGAACAATAAAGTCAATTCATTTTGTATATTATGATCGAGTATGTTTTTTCAACCCTGCGATCTGATCAACCCTATCTTCAAGTATATCACATGACGATCCTTCTATAACGAACAAGTAAAATGAGTAGGGCATTCAAAGGAAGAAGTCATTAATAACGTCGGCAACACAGCTTTATCCTCAAGAGGTATAATCGATAAGAATGGTAATGAAACAGTAATTTTTTATGACCAAAAATTAACGGAAACGATACCAAAATAAATCCCAATAAATATAAGAAAAATGAATTAGCGTTAATCATATTCGGAGTAGGTAATAAGAGCCAGGACCTTATATAGGGTGTTTCACAACTTATCCGACAAATTTTAATCATACATGCATATGCACTGTTACGAAAGAAGTTGGTTTATCAAAAAAAAAAGTCCTACAGAAATCGAGATAATAAAATAATACAGTTTAACAGTTCACTTACTTATAAAAGCTGTTCAAAACTGTTTCCATTGACTGCAAGGCAAGCTTGGGCGCGTCTAATCCAATTTCGGCTCACTAATTCAATTACACCTTCTTCCTGCTGCTTATTCCCGGATTTTCTTCCACAATTATGGGCGAACCCGACCCCCATCCACACCACGTCTGGGGCGCAAATCTCCACTAGCACGTGCACGTAAAACAGTTGAACCAAATGTTTCGTTTTGTGGTATGTGCCTATTCGGAAATCTGTGTGCATACAAACGAGAAGCCGCTCGCGAATTTAGCCCTGCTTCTCCGTACGCTAAAACAATGTCCACTAAGTCCTCATTAGTGTACACATGTGCCATAATAAATAACTAAAAACATAAACTCGCAAAAGAGTTTCTTATTTACCTTCTCAAAAATCGACCGTTCTTCAATCAGATCACCCACGATACAGATTAAACCTTATTTACACGTTCTTATCAGTATGACAAAACAAAAAATTACTAGTATTTTGTTTTCGTCAGTTGTTTGGTACAACATCTGCTACAATAAATTATTAATGCGTGTTCTAATATCACGACGATGAATGCAAAATACAGGTATTTATTTTTCAATTTATTATTGCAGGTTTATAACTTGATTTCTGTAGGACCTTTATTACATTTTTTTTTGAGAAATCAACTTCTTTCGTAACAGTGCATAAGTGAACGGAAAAGAAGTGTATGTATTTATTGTAACGCAACATCTAACGACACTTTGGATGGAAAGGCTTTTTTTATGTAAGGGTTTGGAAGTGCAAGTTTGCGAATAATTTATAGGATAAACTATAAACACACGGTAGGTAATGTTAAATTAGTAAAATCACATATGGATTACAAAAATTGAAATAAACATGGATGAACCTTCAGTAAAACTGAAAAAAATTGGATTTTACTCATACATTAGGCATTTTTTTAAATGTTATATAAGTTCTTGATATTTAATAAACTGATGAAATTTCAATGACAAGCACACCAATTCACATTTTAACAGTGTTTTGTTTTCTATACTTCATTCAATACTATTTGTTCCCAAAAATCTGACCGAGAGATCCCAATTGACTATATTTAACGCAGCTACTCTTTTGGTGGTTCTTGAAGATGAAGGCCCTCCGATTCGTGGTTCATCTTCAATCGACTTTTTTCTTTCTGAAAATGCCTTAAACCATCAAAAAACCTGGGCTCTCGATAAAACGCTATCTTCGTAGGGCGTAGCAAGAGTTTTCGTCGCCCTGTGCCCAAGTTGATGCTACCGATTTTTAAAACACATTAGGAAAAACGGTTCCACAAAAAAAGATCGCTAAGGACAAGCAAATGACTCGAGCGAGTTCAAACTTGTACTGAAGGCGAATCACATAGTCCCCTCCATGCCCGGCGCATCCAATGTTGCCAGATCGAACGCTACGTTGTTAGTCTCATTACTTAATTTTCAGACCTCGAATAAGATCTTTACCAGGGCGAGAATACTTGAGCGCGTCAGATTAAAATAAAGTAGGCAAATTACGTGCTGAAAAGTGAGTATCCGAATAATCTGACGATTGATGTGACGTACAGGGATGGGAGGGTGATAAACTTGCAAAAAAGTCACCCTGACATTGTCCTGCGCGGTGGATATTTTTAAATTATGAAAGAAAAAAGTACAAGAATAACGGAATATACACCTTTTCCGGAAATTGGAAGGATAATCTTGCAACTGGAAATATGTCACATCAAGGCCCACTATTTGGAAAAATCGTTCCCATTTCTGCAAATATCAATTTTTTGAGCCACGTTTGTTTCAAAATATTTACGAATGATTGTTTAAGCTTACACAAAGTTCAAATTGGGATCACATAACTTTTTTTATCGTTTCCAGGAGCCGTCCAACCAAAGTCCCTGATGGCACTGCTGTCTCTAGAGCTTATTGTGCATTGCTCCTCGAATTTTCAGTATCCAATTCAGTAGTCAGTGTTCTGTACCAGCTGGTACCGGTGCTGTTCTAAACTCCCTCACTTCTAGTTTCGGTCTCACGAAGAGTTGATGTCTTTTGTGATCCATCGCCTCGCCGTCACATAAGACATGTAGGGCTGATTATGTTCCATTTCCGCATTGTCTGCAGCCAGGGTGTCCATCCTGCTCAGGTGTTCTTTCAGGTACTTGTGAGAGAATTTTTGTAACTGCTCGGAGTTGGTTGGTCTCTACTCATTGAGAGCAGTTCCGCAGTTTCGTTTGGACATGGTCCCGAGATGCATCTTGCTCATGCCTGCGTCCAGTCACTAAGTGCGAATGTTCCTTCTGCTGGTTTCTTACCCATTCTTTGGCTTGGTTCCTTATTGTGCTTTTTTGGCACCCCAGGCAGGTTCTGGGCCTGTATAGGGTGTGGATGATCCTTTTCTTGATAGCTCATCCGCCCTTTTATTTCCTGCGTTACCTGAATGTCCTGGCGCAAACATCAGAGTTACCTTTTGTGTTCCATCAGTGCGTTCAGTTCTTGTTAGCATTCCCAGATCAGTGCAGATGTCACTCTAGCACTTATTATTATACGCCCGTTCATTATTTACAGTGCAAGATTGCAGACAGTTTCGCCTGAAAGACAGATGTGTCTTTTCCCAGCGGTATACTATGAGATTGCATCTGTTCCCCTTGCAGGTTGTGCCTTTGGTGCTTCGTTCAATCCCATATTGGTCTCGAAGTTAGTTTTGGATACAAATCTGGGAACTATATCAGACCTTACATAAAATGTTTAGTTTTATTTGTAGTGCAGTTCCAAGTAAAAAAATGTCATTATTTTAGGATATGTTCTGATCAAAGTTAGCTCAGCTGAACTCTGAAGTAAGCTTGATATTCATTCATTTCCCAGCCGCAACTCTTTTTGGACCATCTCACTTCACTCGCAAAACGACCGTAACTATAGAGAAAACCCACAGTTCTACATAGCGTGAGCGTATTTGTGCGCTACCCTTCACTTCGTTGTATATTAAATCGCGTTCGTATTAATTATGTCCATTCCAATTGTTTTTTTATATCTTCAAAAAGAGAAGATTTTCCGGTACAAGGCATTAGTTGCGTACATGAATGCTTTATAGTATCCTGGGTCGGCATATTGTTTATTTGTCTAAGGTGGGCACGGAACATGACTTCGCTATACAGCGTGCTGCAGAGGAAGTGAAACTCCGGGGTACTACTTGACGCACAAGTCCGGTCTCTAATGAGACTGATAGTACTACCACTGTGCGTGTAGATATGGATTTATTTATGCGATATTTTTTTTGAGTTTGGACAGGAGAGGACGGGACAGGAGAGAAATGGTACCTCGGTAATTTCTACGCAATAATACGAGGGTCATATTTCAAGTAAGAACCGTTTTGTAATGGAATCAGAGAAAGTGTATAAATGTGAATTCTATCACAAGCTAAAATATGGA